ATGGGAAGAAAGTCGGTGCCTCGCGTTCCATACGTGTGCAATATCATTTCGGAGTACATGTACCAAAATTCTGCTACAGAAGTTTGTCCAACTTTCTGAAACCGTTAAGTAAATTATCCCCAACCTCAAGCACTATGAATTGACTAGGGACTAGATTTAGTTCATGGATCGCGAACCTTTTGAGGTTCTGTGCACCCACAAACTCGAGGAAACCAATGCAAACGATCAACAAGGATTATATCCCTAACTCTACTGTATGAATGCAACGGCATCGAAACCAATGACATTGTTGTTCATTCATATCTCTCAGCCCTCTCTAGACACCACGGAGAGAAACAAGTCATTGGCCCCCATGGAAGAAGATATACAAGCACCGTACGGTACCTGTGGCTCTCCATGACAAGGGGTGGACAAGCGTTCTATGCAAATAGTCAGCCAAAGAGGTCAACATGCTGGGAGAGTCGAGTCGTCGAGTCCGCTTGTGAATCTTCTTTCCTCAACACGGTACCAGGTACCTTGCTGCTACCAGAGACCTACCCGCTGTAGCGTAGACCAAAACTTTGCCTAGCTAGTGAACACATATCTACCGCTGTTGCTACTGCAAACGACTGTGAGACAACCTATTGTACTTTCTGGACATTTTCCAGTTTTTGTCCTCTGCCTCCCTTTCCCAAAAGAACAATACTTCTTGTGCTGCTTCCAATGCTGGCGCTGGCAGCCTCGACAACAATAAGCAGCAGACAAGTACTCACAGAACCTTAATGATTTCCCAACCTTCCCACATTCTTCACATCCATTCCGCAACACAATTGGACCAACGCCTACTTGATTATTTGCGTGGGTTATTCTCCTGGCTTCGTTTGACAAGCCATCCGCTGGTGCTCCATCAGGCACTGCAAAAAACTTTTAGTTTGGATATGCACATGCAATCAGCGTTGCTCTGAAATTGTTGGCTGTCGGGACTCGGGCGGCGGCTTGCAGCGCAGCAGTGGCGCCTTGTTTTGTCTTGTACTGGGGCATGAGATGAATTTCAGCGCTACGTGGTCCGGACCCAAGGACAAACTGTGCAGTGATGCCACCTTGTCTAGCTTTGAAACCGGCTTTGCACAGCAAACTTGCAAGAAGTATTTGGATCATTGCAATGGGGGAGTGACAGACATCCTCCGAAGAAACCTCTTCACCCCAGTTAATGTAGAGTACCATCATGTTTGTCAGCAGGCTGTCGCTTTCGTTGACTTTCCACTGCAGATCCCTGCTCGAGATATTCAGAGAGGTAACATATTGCTTTTCTGCCAACTCATATTCTCGAGCATTTTTGTAGGCCAATCCGCTGTTTTGTGCAAGTGATGCCGCATCGTCGTCCACACTGCAGAGTGATATGGCTTTACCTCGGCAGTCTATCTGCCTGAGCCCTCTACCCCCTTTTTGTATTTCCTATTTCCTATTTCCTATTTACCTCGGCAGTCTATCTGCCTGAGCCCTCTACCCCTTTTTCGGTACATCCTATTTCCTATTTCCTATATCCTATTTCCTGTTCTGGTGAAGCTAAAATATAGGGATAGTAATAGGCGTAAGCCAACAAAACTGGAAATTGAAGGTTCTACAAATTTAGGGGTAGGAATAAATCATGATTATTCAAGGTTAGTGCACTCAACACAATAAGCCAGCAGAAACAGGTACATCCAGGAGTGACAGCTGTTCATCGTGTGTTGCCGCCAGGGCTAGCTTATCTTAAAAAGAAGGTTATAACGAGGGAATGATACCGGGCGGCAACACAAGACGAAGTCGGGTGTTGTCGCCAGGGCTACCTTGAAAGAAGGGTGCAATCTCAAACAGATCCTCTCTCTTCTATTTGTCTTTCTGCCGAGGTATTCCGTCTCCTGAGACGGCGCTCCTTTAGGTTACCCCCTCAGTTGCACTCTGAAATCGATTGGCTCGCGTTTACTGTGTATATTAGTGTACCCGCACTTCAGTTGCAGAATCAACGGTCATGTGTATCCATAAGTAACAGGTTCTCGTTCGACAAAAATAGATCGATTCGTGGGGAAAATGACCGTTGAAGTTACTAAGGTTAAGGATAAACTGATTGAGTACATGTACGGTACCGGTACAACGAATGGTTCAAGTCCATCATTGAAGGCGCAGCACTGACTTCTCTCCCTCATTCAATTCCTATGGTAAACAGGAGAGAAATCCAAGCTTGGCCGCCAACAGGTGAGTTGTTTTAATTATTCGAATCGAATCAATCGGTCGCACCTCTATAATCTCTGTTATCCAAGCCTCACTCAAGCCGGCTGTCTCCGGTGTAGATTGGAAAGCCATCCCTCATTGAATCCTATGGACCATGGGATGGCAGTCAGTTCTTGGCCCATGACGGCCAAGTTGGAGAAAATTGAAACAATGGTAAGTCTCCGGTCGTCTGCAGTTGAGCACCACAGAAAACAAAACTCATATCTATTTGTTGTTTTCTCTGCTGTACTGCTGACGGCCGAGGAAGTTCCATTGTCGAGGACTCCTTTCGAACGAACGATCGAGGCTACCACTACGGAGGCTCTGTTAACTCCAGCCCTACCAATAGCCTGAACGGAGGAGATCGTCATCGAGTCATTGAAAAGGCAACAAGAGGAGGGGGCTACACGACAACTCGAAACGCATAGAGGAGAGTGGATCCTACTACTGGATTCATCCCTCCAGTGTTATTTCCTAGTGTTTTGGTGGTGATTCCTGTGCTGGTACCCATTTTCCCATGGGAACAGTGCTTGTGGAGCCTGGATTGACAATATTTCTGTATTCATTGTAATGGTGAAACATTGGAGGGTAGCGAGCAAAACCAAACCTGAGTGTGTTCGGTACTGTTGACACTGTCACCGATTAATGTAACTCTACGGTAACTGGCTACAATAGCTGGATTGACAATATTGGGTTGTGCATGTATTCGTCATAAGGATCCAATGTGAGGTACCGGTAACTGTAGCGAGCAAAGTCGAACCTGAGTGTGTTCGGTACTGTTGCCACTGTCACTGATTGATGAACTCTACGGTAGCTGGCTACGATGGCTGGATTGACAATGTTCGGTTGTACATGGATTCGTTATAAGGATCCAATGAAAGGTACCGGTAACGGAGTGTAGCCAGTAAGCGAACCTGAGTGTGTTCGTACTGTTGCCACCGTCACTGATTGATGAACTCTACGGTAGCTGGCTACGATGGCTGGATTGACATTGCGCGGTTGTGCATGGATTCGTCATGAGGATCCAATGACAGGTACCGGTAACGGAGTGTAGCCAGTAAAGCGGAACCTGAGTGTGTTCGGTACTGTTGCCACTGTCACGGATCAATGTAACTCTCTGCCTACCGTATCGTAGATTGGGTGTATTCGTCATATGGATCCAAGTAACGAGCAAACTGAGGAAACAGGAGACGAACGCTGAAAAAAGCCGAATCGCAGCTCCCGCTGACTTATCTATTTCCTATTTCCTGTTCCTGTGAAGCTAAAATATAGGGATAGAGATAGGCGTAAGCCAACAAAACTGGAAATTGAAGGTTCTACAAATTTAGGGGTAGGAATAAATCATGATTATTCAAGGTTAGTGCACTCAACAAAATAAGCCAGCAGAGGTTACAAAAGTTACAGGTACATACGGGAGTGACAGCTGTAAAATTATGGTTAGCGGGCGGCAACACACGACGAAGTCGGGTGTTGTCGCCAGGGCTAGTTTATTTCTATTTGTCTTTCTACCGAGGTATCGCAGCTCCCGCTGACTTATTGATATACTTTGGCGGCAACAGCGAAATCTCCAAGGCTTCAAGCGATTCCCCAACGAGGTTAAGCGCAACAGGAACCTGTTTGTCGCCAACTTGCTTCCATGCAAAATGAGCGTTAAGGATGCTGCAGTCCAACATTTCCTTCCACCACTTCCTTTTTCTATAGTAGGACACCAAGAACTTGCTTGCGGCAGAACAGAAAGCAGGCTTCAGCCGGTTGCCATGGTGCAGCAGGAATAGATGGACGGCTCTGTAAGCTAGTGATTGCTTTTGATCGTCGGATATACCTGCAACGAATCGATGGTTGATACTCGCTGTTGTTGCAATCCTCAGTTCTTGCGAAGAGACGACAATATTCACTTTGAGGAGGGGCCCACGGTACCTGATTGTGTCTGTGCATTTGTCTTCGTCAACAATATGCTTGCCCATGATGAGGCCAACGAGGTCACCATTTGCATTTTGCTCCCACTCAAAATCGAATTCACCGTGATACATCTGGCTACAGGCCAACTCAATCTCCTCATCTGAAAAGTGTGAATCCGACTGATGAATCTAGGGCAACTCATTGCTATGCACCAAGAAAGCAGCAGAGCCACTTCCTTTTGGAAATGCTGCAATCTCAGGAATTTGGATGAAATCGGGCATACTGAAAAGCACACCCGAAAACACGCTCAAACCGCCATCGGTGAGCGCCGTTGTGGGATGTGATATAGCCAGAAGTTCCAGTCCACTTTGCTGCTTCAAGGGACAGTTCTTTTGCCAAGCATGCTTTGAAATGGTGGTTGGTACAAAGCTTGAGCAGACGCTGACTTTGATAGAAATTTCCTTGAAACAGATTCAAACGACATGCCATTGCTATCCCATGTGTTTCATGATCCTGACGACTGTGCCGGATTGCCTCGTAGTAATAGAAGAGTGATTCGGGCAAACTGCTCATTGACAGGCAACTTGTCCCAAGAAGTAATTCCCACTTGAAGGCCCAACACCTGAAGTAATCCTCATAGAAACTGGCTGGGGCATTTCTGACTGCATCTGACACTGTCGCGATGCCACTTGGTAGACCATATGTATTCCAGATCCACAGCCACATTTGTTGGAAGCAACCATCCATATATCTAATCTTGAGAGTGAAGATGATGACTTTCATTGCTTGCTTGGAGAACTTGGGCTCCTGTTCCTTTGACGCTTCTGCGGGATGTAGGAACCATGGATTGCATACAAGCAGCTTTTGCTCCATCAGTATCGAGTAGTATAAGTCAGCATCACCTTCTGCCTCTTCCATTCCCTTGTGAATTGTATCGAGTGATTGGCAACCTTTCTGAGTGTCAATGCTTTGGTTTTTGCCATAGAAGTCCCAATTGGATACCTGCTCCACAAATTTCTTAAAAGGTTTTTGTCTCGACTCTGTTCCAGATCTTTCCTTGAGACTTCCTTGCAATTTGAGGATGGCTTCCATGCAAAGTCTTCCATGGTGTGGTCTAGGTCGACGTCAATGCTAGGTTCTGATGCGTCAATCCATTCAAAGCTCAGCAAAGTATCCCAATCATCTTCACCACCCTTGAGGGTGCCACCTTGGTCAACATTCATTCTCACAACTTGTTGGGTAATCTGTCTGACCAGCTTCACATTCCTACGCTTGATCAATACTGGTGGTTGGTCCGGTTTGATCTCTACCTGGTATCGCTTTTCCTCCTTCTCATAGCTTCGAATGAAGGCAAACTTTCCATTGAGTTGTGTTGCCGTCACCAGTCCATGGATTTCAACAAGATCCCATGGTTCCATCTCGCTCTATCTTTTGCAAGACTCCACGCTGCCAGGCAGACTCAGAACTCATAAGGACCTTAACATGCCTTCCGTTCCACAGGTCAAATCTTTTTCTGGGAGACTCGTTATCTGCACATATCGGGAAAGGCAAGAGTCCTAATTGCCGCAGGTATTCGTCAAAGTGCCAACCACATCCAGAGGAACAATCCTCACCGACATCGACGTGGGCGTCCAACATGATGAAAGTATTGTGTGAAGCCCAGAGCTGCTGAGGTTGGTTCTGGTGTTTTCATTGCATTTCTGCGTTCGGCACTGGTAGATGTGGGTACCATGCTATCTCGACTTCAACGGACGCAATCATGTTTCACAATGGGTATTGCACAACAGGTTCGGTCGCTGCGCAGTGACATTGTCAACCAATCAACCAATGCGAAAGATCAACAAGGATCGGATCCCTAACTCTACTGTATGAACTGAGCGCATCCAATGACTCATCATCTCTCCCAGCTCCCTTGACAACACCAGAAACAAGTCAGTTGACCCCATGGAAGAAGATCTAATACCAGTACTCTCTTTTGCTCTTCAGGCTCATAAAAGGACAGTTTAGAATAGTTCAGTAGTCTCTGATTAACCATGAAGCTTTCTCTTTCTTTTTCCGTCGCTGTCCTTATCGTCTTGGCTTCTAATTCCGATGCCTACACGGTTGGAAAGCCCCGTGCTTCCCAAGTGGTGGTTGATCGAAGAGGTGTTCTTTCTGTGTCTGCCGCCGCTGTGGCAGCTGGATTGTTGGGAATACCTTCTGAGGCACAGGCTGCCGCAGCGGCAGTACAGGATAGTCTGGATGTGCAAAGCTTTCTCAAGACGGGTATGGATGCAGGAGGCAACATGGGTGTTTCCAGTCAAGCCGGCAAGAGTCGGCCTCAGACTGGTGTGGTGTTACGCGATGGAAGTGATGTGCAGCAAGACAAACAGGGCAATGTCTTGTCGGAAATTTTGACGGGTACCAAAGCCAATCCAATGGCAGTGGTAGCAAGCTTTCAATCTCCTTGGAAATTGGAGACTGGTCCATATTTTGATGTGGAATGCCGAGATTCCAAGACGGGCGAAGGTGCCTTTATGGCCGTCACGGCCGATGTCGGTGGCAAAAGATTGTCTGATCTCTCCACAGATTTCTTGTTGGACCGATTGTTCCGGCCGGAAGCTCGATTTTCTTTCTATGGACCACCCACAGATGTCAAAGTCAAGAGCAGCCGGACAGAGGGCAACTATCGTTATGTTGAGCTGGGCTTTTCCACTCTTTCGCAATCTACAAATGCCGAAATTCCCCGCAAAGCTCTACTGGTGGCTACTATCCCCGAAGGGACCAACAATGCCGTCATGCTGGTAGGAAGTTCCAATGCGTCAAGGTGGAAGAATGGAGCCGACAAACGAGTCAGAGAAACCATTGAGTCTTTTCGGGCAGTTCCGGCCCCCAAGACAGGCATGAAACTGCGTGCCAAGCAACGAGGACCGGAACCTATTGAGTTTTAATACTTTAGTGTGAAATGAGACTAGTTGCTCGCGCTTGCTGCTTGTACCACCGGCATTCATATTGTGAGGTCTTCAATGCTCAACCGTTGTACGACGCTCAATCGTCGTGCCGAAACAGATTGGTCATCCCTTCAGTCGCATCAAACTAGATACGACATTACAGGTGCAAGTGTCAGTGGTAACATTCGAAGTTGACCCTCTCTCTTCCTACTAGCTAAATAGGATTTGTCGACCTCGTTTGTCTTCAGCAACAGTGGAAGATGATGAATGGTTGAAATGGCCCTGGCACTACTGTGGCTACTTGGCTAAACTGGGAGTTTTTAGACCCTATTCGAAGGGCAGGATGTACCAGGCCGATGCAACGGGAACAGATTACAAGCCACCTCTCTCCCTTAAACAAGAGGTGCCTCCGGGAGCGCCAACCCACGTTCTTGTTGCCGAAGGAAAGCTTTAGCAAAGGTTGGCGTCGAGCTTCATAACTCAACTAGACCTTTCTGAAGAGTTGCATAGGCAAACGAGAAAGAAGAAAACTATGAGCATTGCAAGTCGCTAGAAGTCTGCATGGTAGTAGAAATAAAAATGAGAATCGTGACTCCAAAGAAGATTGAATTAGAGAAAAGAGGCAAATGTGGTGGTAAAAAGCTCCCCTTGTTGGTTGGCTAAAGTGGTCCATTGGTTGATTGTTAGGAAAACTGGATGGATTGTTGCTTGCTCCCCTGGTTCCGATGGAACTGAGGTGGAAGGAGGAGGAAATAGCTCACCTGTTCCCAAAGAATGTGTCCAACAGCAGGTAGAAGGTGGCTTCTTGCGAGAGGACAACAAAAAGATGGCAATCTTGTTATTGCTGGTTCCCTTATTTTCATCGTGATAGCTCCTAAGAGGATCAGTTTGTTGTCGAAATTGGAGCCAAAGAGATCGAAGATGGGCTCGGTCAAGGAGGCAGTTGCCGTCGTTTGACGGGCGGAAAGTGAGTCTTTCAAGCTGTCAGGTTTGACAATCAAAGGTGGGTCCTTCTTGTTGTAGACGTTGTGAACTAAATGGCCTCCAATATGTTAATTGTCACGTCATGTAATGGGACGTTTGTTGACGACAAAAGAGGGAGGGGTGATTGTAGGTGTCGAGGGCCAAAGAAGAGGTAGGCGATGATGAGGAAGAGCTAGTGGCACGAGCACATTCTGAGGGAGAGATGATTAGCTCGCAGACGTTGGTATAAGGGCAGATAATTCGTCGTGGTTTGTCGGACGTGGCATTGTTGGTAATGGTGTCATCGCAGGTTAAAGGGTGGCTCCCTGTCTACCAAGGAATGACTTCCTTTCACGGTCGGCGCATGGTACCAAAATCATGTTATAGGCTTCATCATAAACCAAAAGAGGCATCGGTGACAACAGTGTGGTGGCTAGTGATTTGTCATGTTTTTCATTGTCGTTGACCAAAGGTTCCTTCTTGTGGCAGACGTTGGCTACTAAGGATGGCTCATAGAGTTATTAGCGGCACAGATGATGCCAGTATCCAGGGTGGAGTCAACCAGGCGAATGAAGTGATGTTGCTGCTGACCAGATACGAGCTCCCAGTGTTTGCATGGCATTTTCAAAGGGAGGGACAGTCTCCTCTGCAGTAGATGGCACACAAGCGTTGATGGAGGACGATAGTATTGCTGTTGTTGTGACAGGTGGAATTCACA